GCTAATCAAGGCATGACTGTTCCTTTATGTTTTCAAAAGGTTCTAGACCACCCTGTACTGTTATCAACTTGGTCAACTCAATTCCGTCTCATGTTTCTGCTGCCATATGTTTTCCCCTTGTTGGAAGGATATGGATTTTTAGGACATAGGTCCCTAAAGGAAACTGGAGATATGATAAGGAGGATTCTGGCTGGACACGGCCATGGGGCATTGGTTCAGGCACTGCCGGTTAGCATTTGCACCAGAAATGGCTAATAGAACTCATGGGCAGCTCTGTACCTGCAGCTTAGGGAACACTGCTCCGTGCCCTGTGCTGACCTCAGCGGGAAGGGGGTCCGAGAGCAAGAGGGGGTGTGTGTGCACCTTGCTGCCTGGCAGACACCAGCTCAACCTCAGCGGGAAGGGGGTCCGAGAGCAAGAGGGGGTGTGTGTGCACCTTGCTGCCTGGCAGACACCAGCTCAATTGCAAAGCAGCCGTTGTCCAAAAGCGTCTTAAAAAAGACCCACTAAGAAAAGAACGACAACAAAAAAGCTTCCATCACCGTGCTGATTAGAATCCAGCGCAGCTCAGGCCGTATGAAGGAGCACGGTTTTCCCGGTCTGTAGAGGCGAGTCACCCTCTCTTGCCGTCCGTGGTAAAGTTCTCTTCAGAGAGGTCTGCCTTTGGGCCGCGTGAAGGGCTTGTCGACAGAAGCGTGCGGAGCCGAGGTTATATACAACTGGAGAAAGTTTTCAGGCGGGAGATCAATCTCTGGGCTCAGCTCAAACAGTCAGTCATCCGGTGACAAGCCTCTGAGGAAGCAGTTCAAGAATTGTAGCTGGAACGCGGGGGATCAAGGACTCAATCCATGACGGGAGGAAAGCAATCAGAATTTATGTAGCTGCACTGGCCTTCCCAGACCTGCCTGTGGACCTGCGTGGCGCACTGGGATGCTGTGGGCTTTTGTCCCTGTGTGGCTGTCTTCACAACTAACGGCCAAGGGCAGCGGAGGCTCTTTGTCCCAAACCGCTGCTCCACTCGGGCCGCGTCAGCTCACACTGCAGGCCCCTCACAGTGGTCAGGGCCACTGTGAAAGGCGCGCTCAGAGGGGCGGAAAGCCTTCAGGAAAGCCTGCGGATATATTTAAGCAACGACTTATGTTGCAAATCATTTTACTAGCTTTCATGGAATAATGACAAAGTCCATCAGGAAACTAGCAGTTACAAAGCAAAAGGCACACAAGCATAAGTGGAACGGAACTCTCTGATGTTTTGAAATACTTGGAAGAGAGCCTCTTGAAGTTAATGTTTCATGGGATATATACTTGAAGAAAAAAAAATAGATTTGAGTCTCAGTGTCTGTGTGATCTTGCTAAAGTGGTGTTTATCTTTTAAACACAGCTAATAACACCAGTCTGACATCCCCTATAGGGTCGTTGTGAGGATCAGAATGAAGATAATAGAGGTGAAATACTTTGTAACTGGTAAAGTTCTATAAAATATGAATGCTAATTGCTAGGTTGTTTCAGCGTTTCTTGTCACAGTTATTTTGGGAAATGTCAGTTCATTGAGCCAAAGAATTCCTAGAAATCAGCCCCTGTTGACAGGAAAGTACTTAATATAATAAAAATATTTTTCCAGTATGTAGTTGTTTAAAGTTTTAATTTGACCCTTGGCTTTGCCTGGTGGCTCAGATGATAAAGAATCTGCCTGCAATGCAGGAGACCTGGGTTTGATCCCTGAGATTCCCTGGAGGAGGGAATGGCAACCTGCTGCAGTGTTCTTGCCTGGAGAATCCCAGGGACAGAGGAGCCTGGCGTGCTACAGTCCGTGGGGTCCCAAAGAGTCAGACGTGACGGAGTGACTAACAGCGTTCACTTTTGCAGCAAAGCAGCCTATGAGAGGAAACGGTGGGTGCAGGGTTCAGTCGCTGGGGAAGAAAGTGAGATGGAAGGAGGGGGACTGGAGTGGAAACAGCCAGATGCTGGGTCCTGGAAGCCTCGGCCCAGGCCTGCCGCTGACCTGTCTGGGTGCGGCCCGGTGATGGTGAAGAAGGCAGGGGGTGGGGGGACAGGACATTCTGCTTCCCTGTTATTCCTTCTTTTGTGTCCCAGTTCGCTTCTTTCTGAGATGTCTTTTCAGAAATAGCATCTCGCATATCGCCTCATACTGTGATAGATAAACTCTCTCACGGATTTAAATTTAAAGTCACTGTATCAAAAACTTCATTTTTAAGTATGAAAGTGTTCCTAATAAGACCCATTTAAATGAAGTCAATAAGTTAAAAAGTGGAAAAATCTCTGAGCCCTGCCTTCCTGCCGCTCAATCCCTTCCTCTTGGTGTGTGAGCCTGCCTGCGCTGGAAGCTGGTCCAGCCCTCCAGGGGTGTGAGTGATGGAAGCCAGCCCTGGGCCCCAGCCTGCGGATCAGACGCTGCCCACAGAGTCTGACAGCAAACAGTAATGCAACGAAGGTGAAAAGTTGGGGAGTCTTAGAAGGTGGTATTCTCTGAAGAAAACAGCAGGGTACGGGGGTTCGTTGCTGAAAATCCTTCTAAGAAGGCCAGCGTCTGTGGAAAACCCAAACAAGATGAGATAAGAGTCCAGAGATGGGGACGTTCAAAAGCAGGAGCAGGAGGAGGAGGACACCTAAGTTGCCTCCCGACTGGAACGTTCTGTTTAACTGAGGGTGCTTCGTTCCAGTCAGTCTTCTGCTCCACAGATTCTCGTTTACTGGAACCCTCCAGTACTGGAATGTAGGAAAAAAGGAGAAAAAAAATTAATGCCTTAAAACCTTGTCAGCCCAGGAGGACCCAGCAACAAATTCCCGCCGAGGAGTGCCAAAGGCCTGAGAATTAGACCTGCCCGGGTGACGCTACCTCCAGGTGTCTGGTTAGTCACGGCTGTCTCTCGTCCATGAAGGATTTGAGGTGCCGTGTAAAAGTACGTACAGGAGGATAGAATAAGTAGTTCAGATAATCAGGACGAAGAGGATGTAAGTAAGAAAATAGAACTGGGACAAGAGACGCACAGAGCCTCGTTACCGTTTTCAGAGGTGACCCGTAAGGATGGCTGTACGCTTCCAGGGGCGGAATGAGGGGTGAGTTAGGATCAGCTGTGTGAAGTCGAGATGCCCTCACACTGAAAACGATCCAGTTGCTCAGGAGAAGAAAAGAAGTTTTCCTGTTCCCATTTTCTCAGGCCTGAGATCAGTGTATTTCACGAGGACTCGTCGGGACGACTCAGTACCCCTGTGACCAGCGCTCTCGACACGCAGCTCCCGGCGCCTTCCGAACGTGACGGGCCAGACAGCTCAGTGGTGGTGGTTTGGTCGCTCAGCTGTGCACAGCTCTTGCGACACGACTCTTGTGCTGTGGTTTCAGGCCCCTCGCTGGCCTGCGTCCGGGATCCTCTCAGGCCTGTCCTCACTGGCAGCCAGGAGGCCCCTGAGTCACACCCCCCCTGGGTTTTTGTATATTGTTATCTTCCTAAATTCATCTCTTGGTTGCCTTTCAAATATGATGCGTGCCTGCTTAGTTGCTTTAGTCGTGTCTGACTCTTGCGACCCCATGGACTGTAGCTCGCCAGGCTCCTCTTTCCATGGGGTTCTCCAGGCAAGAATCCTGGAGTGGTTTACCGTGCCCTCCTCCAGGGGATCTTCCCGACCCAGGGATCGAACCTGCCTCTCTTACGTCTTCTGCATTAACAGGTGGGTTCTTTACCACTAGCTCTACCTGGAGCTCCACCTGGAACAAAGGAGGCCCTTTGTTCTTACAACCTCCCCAGAATAAACAGAAATTATTTCATTCACCCATGAAAATTTTTACCTGAAATGTTTCCTCTCACTCGTTATATAAAAGGCATATATAGGAGTCTGTCCTCCACTCGCCCAGTTACTTCCCTTAAAAAGACAGACGGCTACAGCTTTTTTTTTTCTAGCCATAATATTCCACTGTATGGATATAGTAGGGTTTATTCAACCAGCTTCCTATTCACGGACACTCAGGTTGTTTATTGTCTCGCTATAAACAGTGCTCCAGCAAACAGCCTTATATGTTCGTAACTTCCTGTATGTAGGAACAGCCTGGTAGTGAAAGTGGCCATGTGGTGTGTCTGTAATTCTGAGGATGGCAACAGTGCCACGCTCCTTAGGTCTGGGGGTTGAAAGCCCACACGTGCACCTGCTCTCAGCATATGGAAGGTCGTGGTTTCTCATGGTTTTGGTGTCAAGTATGCTATGAAATGTTTTTATTTTTGCCAGTCAGATAAGTAGAAAATGGTAACTTGGTGCACTTTTTGTTTTTCTTAAGTGAGCTTTTCATTTGCTTGAGAATCTTTTTTTTCTCCCTTTTTGTGCATGTCTTCATATTCTTTGCCCGTCTGAATAATGAGATTGTTATTCTTTTTCTTACCTACCGTTAGGGGCTGCATGTCATTCTTACCTTGCTCTAGGAAAGTTTCAGTGGGTAAGGAAGCTGGTGAGGGTAGTGAATGAAAGAAGCAAGGCTAAGAACTGAAAACTGCTGCATGTGAAATAGACTCAAGTACAATGAACCTACTGTTCTTTCAGCTGCAAATAAATGCTGGGCTCGGATGGTTGGTTTTATCTACAATTTTTATAATGAAATATAAAGGATTTACTAATTAAGGAAAAAAGTCTGACTCACAGAGCAACATTAACATTCCACCTATCTTTATTATTTTTTATTTGCAAAGACAGTTCAGAAACGTTTTAAACATATTTTAAAACAATTAACCTTATAATCCTTGAACATCACATTTTATTATTATTATTATTTTTTACATTACAACCCTCATTTGTCCCTGTGTTAAAGAGTGGTGTCATAGTACATACTCATTTTCAGACAGACATTTTTTATGAGCTCGTGATAAACGCCTACTGTGTAAGCGCACCTTGCCTCTGCTTGGCGCCGCTGCGGGCCTGTCCGGTGTCAGGAGTGGGATGGACCTGTGGCCTCTCGTGCCCTTTAACCCTCTGTCTCGTCTCCTGTCCCCACTGCAGCCGGAGCTCACGACCGGATCGGCTGGGCCTTCGGGCTGGGGCTGGAGCGGTTGGCCATGATCCTCTACGACATCCCCGACATCCGCCTCTTCTGGAGCGAGGACGAGCGCTTCCTGAAGCAGTTCCGCGTGCAGGACATCAACGAGCAGGTGGTGTTCCAGGTGAGTGACGGGGAGTCCCGTGAGCACAGGGGCGGGGTCACGCACCGCGAAGAGAATCGGTGAGCGCAAAGGAAATGTCAGCTTGCCACGGGCTTTCAGCCGAGGTCCAGAAGCACTCAGGAGCTCCATGGGCCTTCTGAAACGGTATTCGCTAAGAGGGGGTTTATCAAGCCTGCTGGTCTAAGCGGGGAGCCAGCCTTGGGCTTCGCTAATGTCTGTTTCCCGTGAGATATCCATCTTTATCACTGATGGTGCTTTCACAGTTTGGTTTTTTGGGAGTTTTTTTTTTGATGCTAATCTAGACGCATTGACTTTCTTATGATTAGTGTTTGAAGTGTACATTTTTTTCATCATTTTATTTTCAGTTTCTGTCTTTATACTAAAAGCATGTCTCTTGGAAACAGCTGGGTCTTTTTGTAAACCCATATTTAATTGGGGTATTGACTCAACACTCAGTGTATTCCATGGGACATTCTTGGGGTTAATTTTTATTGTCTCTTTAGTTCTTATCCATTTTCCTTTTCTGTTCTTTTTCTTTACTTGGAAATTGAGATTTTGTGCAGGGGGTTGTTTGGTTTTGTATTGTATTTTATTACTCTATTGCTGTTTAGTTTCTCAATTTTATATTATTTTTAAGTGGTTATTCTAGATTACAATATGCATAATTAATTCATCACACTTTACCATGAGTAACCAGAGTATTACAACTCCATGAAACATTTACTGTTACAATACTGTAATTCTATTTACTTTCTTTTTCTTGTATTATTACTGTCCTATTTTATTTCTCTGTATATTATAATCCCACAACACACTGCTCTGTTTGCTTCAAATAGCCATTGTCCTTCAAAGAAATTTAAAACTATATTTTCCTTGATGTTTGCCCATTGCTCACTGCCCTTCATGATTTTTCTCAGTATTCATTTTCTGTAAGTCTGAAGGACTTACTTTACCATTTCTTGTAGTGCAGCATGAATTTTCCCAGCTTTTGTTTGGAAATGCCTTTGTTTCATCTTTATAATAGTAATATTTTCCATGGATATAGGTGTCCAGGTTACCAATATTTGTGCATGCTTTTATTTTTCCTCTTAGTTCTTTAAAATGTGTCATTTCATCGCCTCTGTCTTTTCCCTTTGGTTTTTGGCAGGTTGACCTCTGTGTGACTTTCTGTCTTATTATCTTGCTTGGGACTTCAGTGTGTTGAATCAGTGCTTTGCAGCCCTCTTTGAAAAGCCTCACGTCTCTTCCAACAGCTCTCTCCCTTTGCTCTTCAGACTGTGACCACACGTGTGTCAGCCCGTTTGCATTTGTGCCCAGGGTGTGCTTCTTCTTATGGGTTTTTCCCCATTGTGCGCTTTATCTTGGGTAGTTTTTCTCGTCTTGTCTTTGGGTTTCCCCGTCTTCTCTGTTGTGTCCATGTAACCACTAGGCCTCTCCAGTGAGCTTTCATTCTAATTTTGTACTCCTCATTTCTCCAGTTTCTATTTGCATCCTTTTTAGGGTTTTTATGATTGATGAAATTCTCCATCTTTTCATCCATCTTGGACAGTTTCCCCTAAATTCTTCAGCATGTTCATGACGGTGACTTTTAAGTCTTGGTCTGTTATTTCCAAGTTTTCAGCTCTCTGTTGTTCTCCTTTTAATCTTCTTTTCTTCTTGGTTATGGGTGACATTTTCCTGCTTCTTCACTCTTCTTAGTTTTTAAATGTTGGCACCATGTATCCTCAGGAAGCCTTACCCTTTCCCCGGGCAGGCAGCGAAGGCAATGAAGCCAGATCCCTTTGTCATAAGCAGGAGTCGAGCTGGATTTCGTGTCTCCTTAAGTCTGTGTAAGAAACTTAACTTCTGATGGAGCGGGGGGTGGGGGTGGGGGACAGTTAGGGTTTGAGAGCCGAGACAGTAGATCTCTGTAAAACGCTTTGTGAATTATAGATCACAGAGAGCTACTTCCCAGTGACTCCCTTATCATTAGTATCTATTGACTATATTGTGTCAGTTTCCCGTGGCTAACGCTACAAATTACCACAAAGCTAGCGGGTTCAACCCACACGTCTCTATCATTTTACAGCCCCGGAGGTCAGGAACTCACAGTCAGTCTGCCAGGCTCAGGCTCAGGGGCAGTGGGGCTGGTGCCCCCGGAGGCTCCAGGGGAGACCCCCTCCTCCTCCTGCCTGGGTCAGCTTCTGGGGCCGACCGCGATCCTCGACCCCTGACTGCATCACACCGCGTCCACCCCTTTCCTTTCCCATGTGGCCGCTCTGCCTTCCCTCCACACATTTGTTCTTCTCACAAGAGCCCCTGCGACAAGCTTATCTCCACACACTAAGATTTTTCTCCAGCACATCCGTGAAGTCGTCTGTGAGTGTCAGGCAACAGATCCACGGGTTCCTCGGATGAGGAAGTGGACATCTTCGGGGGTCGCTATTCAGCCCATCACATACACCTTTCTTTTTTTTAAAAAAGCATTGTTTGTTTGTTTGGCTGCGCTGGGCCTTAGCTGTGGCACGTGGGGTCTCCAGCTGTGGCGCGTGGATTCTAGTTCCCTGACCAGGGGTTGAACCCGGGCCCCCCCTCCCTTGAGAGCACAGAGCTTAGCCACTGGACCACCAGGGAAGTTCCGCACATACCTTTAACTGTTCCGTTTCCATCATGGCAGATTGCTTGCTTCAGATAGAAAAGAGGAGATTTTGTTGTTAGGTGTAAGTAATATAGATAATATGAGAGTGTGAGTTTCTGACCATTTATATGGAGAGGTCGTGCGTCTGTACATGAAGGAAATAGGGACTCATTTCTCACTTAATGACGTTGGGCTGTCTAAGGAAGAATGTGTAACATGATTATAAACGAAGGTTAGGCTGAGCCTGAAGGCAGTGATGGTGAGAGGGTGGGTCTGATGTCGGCCCCGTCGTCTCTGAGGTCGGTCGTAGTTAGATTCTTGGGAAGCCATCAGTGAGTCCTTGGTCTCCCTGGGGTACCAGGCATCAGCTGCGAGCACCCTGCTCTGTGAGGACTGGGGGTTTTTTACCGCCAGGGTTGGCCGTTTTCCCTTATTTTGTGTCTTCCCACGGTCATGGTTCAGTGCCCCGTACTCTGTGCATTAATTTATTTAGTGCCTTATAACACTTGTCATTTGTTGAGTGCTGGGTACAAGTCATGGGACTAGATACCTTGCCTGTGTCATAGCTTTCACTCTTCACAATCTGATGGGGGTGAAGTCTATTAACCCATTGTATAGACAACGAAACTGAGTCTTGGAGCCAGCAAGGAGCTTAGCCCCAAGAACTCTGCTAGCAAGTTACAGAGCTACGATCTTCACTAAAGCCGACTCCAGGGAGCTCCTAACATTGAACTGGTAAAATCTTGTTTCCTAGATGAAGCACCACTCTGGAGTCAATGAGATGAAATGCACAGTTTCTGACTTCAAGCTGTTTTCAATCTAGAGAAGGAGATAGATTTATCAAGAGATGGCTTCCCCCATGTCTCAGTGATAAAGAATCCACCTGCAGTGCAGAAGACATGGGTTCTACCCCTGGGTTGGGGAGATCCCCTGGAGAAGGAAATGGCAACCCACTCCAATATTCTTGCCTGGGAAATCCCATGGACAGAGGAGACTGGCGGGCTACAGTCCATGAGGTTGCAAGAGTCGGACATGACTGAGTGGCTAAACAACTAAATTATAAATAATATGAAATGCAGTGAAGGGCTGCACACAGGTGAATGTAGAATTTTGCTAATATTGACCAGTGTATGCAGGGATCAAAATTTTCATCTTTTTTAAATTCTATTTTGCTAGTTAATTCTCAGAATCCTTCCACGTCTCTCCAGAATTGTATCAGGACTTGAGCCTGCAATTACTTGCTAATCTCCGGGACTTGGAATAGTTCCTAGATCTGGTTTCTCTGTTATTACCATAAATGTTGTCTGGTAGAGACTCAGTGCAGGATTATGTGGTGTTTCCTCATTCTGTTCCCAGATAAATCCAGCTGCGAGAATCCCATCAGCTTCACTGTGTTGTGGTGAAATTAGTGGATCTCATTTTTCTTTCCCCTGTGCAATTTTTTCCATCTCGCCACACCCCCCCCCCCAAAAAAAAGCACATAAATATTTCTCTTCTGCAGGAAGGAGGATGTTTATCCCAGAAGATAGTCATAGAAAATCACAGGAAGAGGGGGAGATGACCAGCCACAGGACTGTTTGTGCCCTGTAGTCATTGTTGACGGTCAGACGTGGAGAGATGCAGCGAGCAGGAGGATGGACCCGTTTGCTGTGGGAACCGTCCTGGTGCCTTTATGTAAAGCCTTCATCCCAGTGAGCGAGTGCCCAGTGAGCATCTCGTCCATGTTAACTGGTACTCCTGTTGTCACGACCCCCGCAGCCACTGCGGGCCAAGCGGCCACGGTCCCCTCGTGACTCCTGGTCCCTCCTGCCTGCAGTGTCCATCTCCACCTTGCTTTGCCTGCCTTGTGATGTGAGGTTGCTTCACAGACCCTCGGTCTGTTGAGTCCTATTGGATTGTCACCCCGTGTCTATCCCGGGACCTCTGTCGTCAGAGGCTTGTGGACTTATGACTGCTTTTTATCTTTGTGAAAGTGAAATAGAGGGCAGCCACCATACATTCCTTCCTTATTTAATGCACTTTTAAAACAGTAAGAGTGAGGTCCTCAGATCTTCTGGTATAAATTGGACAGTTATGTTGTGACCTCTATATGCACACACGTTCATCCTCCTTGTTACAACTTCTGGCCATCAACCCGATGAAGATGTCCAGCAGCTTCCTGTTTGTAGACACTGCCGGGTGCATGTCGCGTCCAACTCTCTGTGACCACACGGACTGCAGCCTGCCAGGCTCCTCTGTCCTTGGGATTTTCCAGGGCAGAATACCAGAGTGGGTTGTCATTTCCTCTTCCAGGGGCTATCTTCCCGACCCAGGGATCAAACTTGCATATTTTGAATCTCTTGCATTACAGGCAGATTCTTTACCACTCAAACCACTGGGGAAC